TCTTGGCTCTTACTCTTGAAAATTTAGTTGAAACACATGAGCTCTTGTGTACTTTAAGCCTGGTTAAAAAAATGGTAAAGTCTTTACTCAAGGCAAGTGGCCCTGCACTCAGCTGGACCTTATTCCAGTTTCCTTAGCATGAGGCAACTAGGAATATCACTGCTCTGTCCTGAATGGGAGACTACTCCATCTGCTGCTCTAACAGGCTTCCCTCCCATTCACTAGTACCTATTTATACTCCTGGGTGGAGATAGGCTCTGTGACGCTATTGACTTTTGCCCAAGAACACAACACAATGACCTGGCAGGTTCTCAAACCTGGACTTTTTAACCTTGAGTCCAGCGCACTAACCAATGGGCCGGTGCGTTTTCATCTCAGCTTAATAGCACCCCTGAATTAATAAAGTTACATAAACCTCAAACCAACGCATTGGATTTTTTAATATAAGGTGGCATTGGTAAATACATTGCGGACTGGATGATAGATGGAGAGCCACCTTATGATTTGACTGAACTAGATCAGGGTCGCTATGGCAACTGGACATCAAAGGAGTATGTGATGGCTAAAACGAGGGAATCGTATGGCTTAAATAACCAAATTGGTCATCCTAAACTAGAAAGGCCTGCAGGACGACCAGTCAGAAAGAATGGTATTTTTGAGGTAAGGTCTGTCTTTAGATCTAAAAGTAGGACTCGACTTGAAGCCAATCAGAGTAAAAGAAGTCATCACGAGGAACCAGTAAGAACACAGATTAAAACAAGAAAATTGCCTGAAACACGGGAAATGTAGCTGTTTAAGTATTTTATACGTATTAGGCTACTGAAGCAAAAGTGTTCATATCCCAGATTCCTTTTGATGCTCGTTTGTTTGTTGCTCGATAGTATCCAAGTATTGTGTTAAGACGAGATTTCTCGTATCTTCAATTTTTCGGGTTGATAAACAGTGCACAAACCAATAAATAATTTTAGACCTTTCAAACTTTTAAGAACCCTTTATTTATTTGCAGCGTCTTGCAGAACGAGGAGCAGAAATGGGATTCCATGTGGGTTGGGAGCAGCCAAACTGGTTTGCTCTGTCAGGTGATGATGGTGGTTATAAGCCGAGCTTTAGGAGGACAAACTGGTTTGAACCAGTTGGACGAGAATACGAATTAGTTCTCAACAAAGTTGGTGTTATCGATCTGACACCATTTGGAAAGTTTGAAGTGAAAGGAAAAGATGCTACAAAATTCATGGATATAATGGTTGCTAATGTTTTACCCAAGGTAAAGGACTAGAGGTGTTGTTGTCTTTTAATTGTTCCGCCAGCTAGCCAAGTTCCGTTGATTAAGTTTGCAGTTTTGTTGCTACACATAAACTGTGTATCCTTTGGTTACTATTTTGGCCAGCACTTAATTTGCCAAAAAAAGAACAAGTTTTTTTGGCAGAACTTAAATTTTACGCGTTGAAAGAAAAAGAATTGTCTTAAGGGATGCGAATTGTGCGGTAACTAACTGAATGCGGCCGATCAGAATTGTCTCAGTTTACTGATTTTTTTAAGACCTGAATGAACAGACCAATCACATTACCAACATTACAAAATGCTCTATACTGGACCAAATAGCTTACAATTTTCATGTCTCTTTTATTCCAAGTGCACACCTTCAGGATATGTCTCAATGTTCTCATTGGCAACAGAACAAAAAACATGCCAATTTCACGTGAAACAAATCTATAAACTTAAGTTTGAGTTTATGAACGAGCAAATTTCGTAAGCATTTTCTAAGGCCTGTCTTTGGGCAATAGAGAACTTGGAAAACACAGCGAATGAGTTGCGATGAGGAACAAACTGTAAAAAAGGTTTAAGTTTTTTTGCTCCTTTCAGGTCGGCTGCACCAACATCAGCCACATGCTAAGTCCAAGAGGCCGAGTATATGCTGAGTTGACTGTTTCCACTGTGTCACCTGAGCATTATTTCTTGTTGACAGGAAGTTCTTCAGAGTTTCATGATCTCAGGTTAGTGCGACGCTTTAAGTTGCTGTAACTGCTGTACATTGTGTACATAACACATCTGCATTTATCAACCAAAAAAACTGTGTAAGGTAATTATCAATTTATTATTCTGAAACAACTTAATGAATGTATACAGTGTACGTGTACGTTACTGAGGGAATCCACCACAACTGTGCACCACCGATTACCTGTGTTGTGGTTCTATTACGTAGTTCTTTTTCTGACTGAAACACGGATGTTACGTCACTTCCAATGCTAAATTTTCTTTTCCTTCCTTTATACAAATGTCGAGTCTTTTTTCAAATGATGATTTCACAAAACTTCCGTTTTATGCCAAGCAAGCTCACCAGCAAGATGGGACGCCATCTTAATTTTGCAAATTACGCTTAATTCCAAAAGTTATGATGCGCGAAGTACAGGATGCACAGTGCGGTATTTTGTGACGCGCCTCTTTGACTCTCATAAAAAAAAGACTTTAATCAAATTTACCTGCAACAATTTGACATGTTGTAGAGGCTCTACATTCGTTATCATTCACCGCTCCCTCCTCACTAATCCTTACCTTTCTTTTTTAATAAACAGGAATTGTAATCTGCGCTCTTTCCATTGCGGGAGGAGAGAGACGGGATGTTCGTTAAAAATGCTATTTTTTTGTTCTCCAATTCTTTGTAGATGGTTAAAAGACCATGCCAGCAAGGGGAATTTTGATGTCACTATTGAAAATGTAACAGATGATATATCAGTGTTGGGTATAGCAGGGCCATACTCCCGCAGCGTCCTGTCCAAACTTACTCCCACGGATATGAGCAACAGCCAATTTAAATTCTTGACTTTTAAGGACATTGAACTAGCTGGTCTTCCTGTGCGTGCTATGCGAATTTCGTACTCTGGTGAGTAGAACTTTGGGTATCTGGTCTTGATTTCTTGGCCATAAATTTTTTTAGTATTTCCAGGTTCGACCTCTTTGATCACTTTGCATTATTTAGAAAATGACAAGTGTTCCTGATATTTTCATTGGGTTGTAGGTGAACTCGGTTGGGAGTTATACCACAAGAATGAACACACAGCTGAGCTGTACGAAGCTCTGTTGAGAGCTGGGGAGGAGTTTGGTATTGGAGACTTTGGTACTTATGCCATGACGGCGCTGAGAATTGAAAAAGGATTTAGGGCCTGGGGACAAGAGGTAAAGTGTGTCTTTCAATTCAATCTCTCACAAGCCGAGTATCCTCAGGTCAAGCTATAGGTATAAGGCGTGATTAAGTTGATCTGATTCCTTGTTGTTCGTTTTGGTAGTTTTTTGTGGAGTGGTCCTCGCATAGTTTGAGATCTCTGTGGCTTCCTCTTTACGTCCTATGAAAAAGACTTGACTGAAAACGGGATTGCACGTCAGTGAGACGAGAGAAAGTAATAAGAGGAGGGAAGAAAGGGCTCTCTCTCTCTCTTCCATGTGACTTCTGCTGAAAATCCCGCCATTTTTTTTCCCGCCCACCTGTCCGTGTCCGCTGACTGACAGACCGGCACAGGGTAAAACTAAATAGCTACATTATATTTGAGTGAGGAAAAAATGTATTCATTATCTCACTTTCCAATAGATGAATATGGACACCACCCCTCTAGAGGCTGGCTTGGATTATTTCATCAAATTTGAGAAGGTAAACTAAACACTGACATAGCTGAACGTTATATTACATTTGGTGACTGAACTCAAGCTTAAAAAGCAACGCTCTATTTGTTCGTAGGGCGTGGACTTCATTGGGCGACAAAGTTTACTTCAGCACAAGGAGAATGGAATCAAAAAGAAACTCTGCATGTTAACGGTGGACACAACTGATGTGGATCCTGAAGGAAATGAAACTATTTGGTTTGGAGGAAAAGTATGTTACTTGTTATCTGCTTTTGTTTTCGTTTCCTTTTTCCACCCTCCCAAATTGTTTATGAAACTCATCTTTCTATAGATTTCACGACTCATGATCACACGAGTTTAAGTTACAGCAGCACCTTATTAATTCAGGACCAGTTAAAGTTTATTGAATCAAGAAAAAAGGAATCTTAAGACCTCAACATTTTTATGAGTCACAGAACAGCCGAAAAATTTTGAAAATCTGATTCACCGCGTTGCCTCATGGTCTGTCTGACAAGCTTTCTACCGGCTTCCTCGTCTTTTGTTCGTTTTCCTCTCAGCCATCCCAGGCTCCATTTTTCCCTTCTCCACCATCCCAAAACCCAGAGTCCATGTTACTCGTTCACCACCCTATCCGTTCTCTGACCGTATATTCCCAATCATATTCCTTGGAATCGTACCTCTGTGAACTTCACACTAAAGCAAACCTCTTTGGCAGGTTGTTGGTAACACGACATCTGGAGCGTACAGTTACAGACTTAAGGAGAGCATCGCAATGGCTTACTTGCCTCTTGAACTGACGGAACTTGGATCCCGGGTTGAAGTGGAGCTTTTGGGAGCCAAATGCCCCGCAACAGTAGTAAAAGAACCACTGTTCGATACAGAACCTGTGCGCACAAGACGGCAACTAAAAGCTGCCAAATTAATCAAAGGAAAGGCTGCTTTATAATGTATAAGAAGACAACAAAGCACTATCATCTTCCCCCTCCCCTCTCATTAGACATTCCCTTTCCTATTCATTAGTTCTAAGAAATAACTCATTACGTTTACACGGCTCTTTGTCTTCGCAAGAGGAAGCTAAAGATTGAATACAGCAACACACCCCTCCGATCAGAAGCCTTCCTTAGAGGATTTAATCCTGACAGATAGAACACGCTTTGTGCCTTCCTTCTCGCGTCTATACATCGAAACCCATTACGGTTTGGATGACCTAACACGTTCATATTCTGTACAGTGTGTGATTTTGAGTTCGCATTGATCAGAACTCATTCCTATGGGGTTTTTTCTAAGATACACACTAAAAATGTGATGTTGTGATGTTAAAAGAACATTGTAATAGTTTTCAACCTGCCTCAGGGCTTGTGAATAGATAAATCTTTCGAGCAAAAGAAAGGTGTCAGCGTTTATTATGCATCCTATTGACTTTTACAGCTCACGTTCATACGTTTTAATTTAATTTTCTGATATCAACACATTGGCTGACCCGCAAACAACCACAGCGAGCCGAAGGCGGGTCGGTTACTCAGACACCACCATCATTATTTATGCTAAGTTAGTTTATGAAGAAGTCCATTGGGGTAGTTCCTAATTGAATTAACCAGAAACGCTAAGGATCAAATCCTAAATTATGACAAACTCTTTTTGGTGCAGAGCGATTGACAACCAAAAATCCACAATTAACAAAAAAATTTTTAACAAGTCGTTTGATGCCTCCAAGCTTAAGACAAATATCTTATCACTCAATGTGTCATTAAATGTCCCTTGAAAACGTATCTAGACGGATGACTTAGCGAGAGAATTCAAGACATGAAAAGGAAGACTTTGGAAAAGCCGAAATTAATGCAAACAGAGTACAAAACACTCAAGTTTCATGGTTCAGTGAGTCTCTGCGTATGCAGCAAGCTTATGCAGTTCCTCGTCAGTAGTCAGAGTCTTTTGTTGAATCATGTTTTTGTCTGCCACCTTAAGATTTCCCCACTGTGAATCCAGCTCACGTAAAGCGCTACTGAATGGCCGACCACTAGTGGGCTGCAAGTTCTCCCAATGAGATCGGCGAGCCCTGAAAATCATTAACGGTAAAAAAAGTTTTTTGGAACTTCGGCATATTTTAAATTTTTTTGTATCAGTTGCACTTGCCACAACTTATTTGGCTTTAAAGACTAAAATGTTACCATTCTTGGATCAGCATTTGCGAACAAATTATCAAAGGCATCACTTATTTAGCTTTAGTTACTTAACCCCTGGGATTTTTTTTTTTTTCGATCCTTAACCCTCGGGTTTAGTTTTGCTGCGGGATTGCGAGTGCCTATAAACCAAACTTGTCATCAGAGGTACTGTACGTTTCCGTTGTCAGATCCCAGGGGTAATATCTCATTTGGCCCTAAATTACGGCGAATGTGCTGCCGAAAGGCCTCTCCTCATAGGCTATGCCTTTCATCACAACTAACCTTTGCTTAGTTTAATCCCTGAGGGGTTCTCTTACCTGGCTCTAACCCAAGGATAGGTGTGCTGCCGTAGGGCGTCTCCCCATGGAGCATGCTTCTCGCTAGCTGGAGGTAATTTACCACGTTCTTTTGCAAGCTGGTAACAGCAACAATAAAAAAAAAAGATATGTTGAGCTTTGATTGTAGTTTGAATATCTCTTCTTTCTTATTTGTCAAAAACATGCACGATCCACAACAAAGATTGAAAGAAAGCTTGCAAACCCAAGCATTTTCATGCACGGTTTCATTCATTTTGTTCGCTGATGCATTTTGTATTTTCTCTGCAAAAATGTTCAAGTAGATACATTGTGGGACGACGGATTTTACTTTAATTTATCTTAGTTACTCATGACATGAAACTAGAGACCTCTTCAGCTATGGCTCGAACGTGATAAGGCTCCATTCCACAGCATGCTCCAATGTATCGAATGCCCATATCATAAGCTTTACGAGCGTACTTGTGCATGTCAAACCGAGTGAGCAAACGAGTCTCCATAGCTAAAAGAAAAGAGAAAATAAAGAGTGTTTGCGTCAATAGAACGTGTCAAACGGGGAAATATCCCGGAAATAATAGTTCTCAGGTAAGTGAGTTAGACATCAAAATTACATTACTTAGGAGTAGTGAAGTGGCACTTTCAAGGTTAACAAGGTGGTTCTAGGCTTCACAGTTTGTTAATAAATCGAAAAAAAAATAAGAGAGCAAAGTAAAGCAGAACCACGCGCATTCCAAATCACTCTCGACAGTCAATTAAAAATTGCAGTATCTTAACTATCACACCATAAGGAAACTCCGCTAGTCCTGTAATCCCCATTCGTCTGGCTGGGTTAGTGTGGTCGAGACACTCCGGTGTCTTGTAACCCATTGGCTGAACAATCAGATGACGTTTGAGTCCTTCCTTTTCCAGGGCCTGTTTCATAATCTTCATGGTTTCCAAGCATACGTCCGGATCATAGTAACAATTCACACCGATCATGTCGGCACCTGCCGAAAAATAAGAAAAACAAAAAAATTGTATCATTTTGTAATTCATGGTAGTTTTTTCTTCCTTTTATTTGGCTAAGAGCCTAGAATGTGGCCTGCAGATAACTGCATATACATGCATGATACCGTTTATTGTGTCTTGTTGCTCCAGACGTACTGCGTATAATATTTTGCTCATTCACGCTTGAGCCCGTGATCGTTTGCGGAAAAAGCCAGCGTGATTTCCTCGGCTGTTAGAGAAGAAAATCTCGTTCCAGACTCAGACGCAGATTCATTCAACTAAATTGAGAAACTCATGCCTTAGTATAGCTCCCATGAGACAAACACTTGAGACAAACCCAGTCTTTGGGCGGGTTTAAAGCATCGAAGTAGTAAGGCATCGAAGGAAGGCTAGCAGAGCTTCAGATAACTGTTACCTGCTTTAGCGATTCTCACAGCACACTCTTCAACAGACACTCCTTCCAAATCTCCGGCAGAACAGATGTTAAGGCACATGGCAATTGGTTTTCCTGTGGCTTTCATCACTTCAAGGGCCCATTCTGCCTCCTCTACATAGAAAAACAACTAACCAAGACAATTTAATCAGTTCACATTCCCTATTTTAACCAGAGTTCATGAAACAAGCCATATGCTGCACATAGGATAATTCATGTCCGATGTGGAAAGCTGTGAAAAGGGTAAACCAAGGTTATTTCAAAATTACTATGAACAGAAACTCTTGTGTTGCTTAGTTACTGGGAATTACGGTACTGATTATGTTCAAGTAATGCAAAGCGTAGGAAGATGTAACGTTACCTCTCCGATCAGAAAATCCACGTCATTCTTGACAAAAATGTCGATTTGTTCCTGAAACTCTCTCTGAACGGCTTCTTTGCCAAGTCCTGACATGTATGAGGGCGTTTGGCAGATGTTACCTGCTACGAGGGCGTCGCCCTCGTTGGCCACTTGACGCGCGAGATCACACGCAGCTTGATTGATGCGCTTGCACTTAAACAGAACGAAGACAAACAACTCGATCAAAGTATATTTTTAAATCACTACCCTAAATCGATTTGAAAGAAACTTCAACTGAGTTGTTCTTACCCCAATCTTATCGGAAGCTGTGTTACCACGATTGCGTAACTTGTCATCACTGGCGTAGAAAGTAAACGTCTGCATCACATCGGCGCCTGCCCGAAGAAACTCTCGATGCAGTTGCAAGACTAAACAAAACAGAAGTAAGAAACATTTATTTTCTTCCTTTAGCCATTGGAACAAAAAAGACTCTCGATTTCCATCCATCTCATTTTTTATGGCCCGTAATTTATCCCTTATGTCTTATCTTTTATGTCTTTCCTCCTCTTTTAAATTTTTATTCGTATTTGACATTCGACATTTTGAATTTTCCATGCCAATACATATTTTCCGGTCCTTATTCTTTATTTTCTGTTTCCTATTTTATTTTCAATTCAGCCTTTTCCATTGTACATTCTCTGCGCAGCATTTCCGCTTCGTCATTCCCCATTCTACATTTCCCAACCTCCAATAGGGATTTTTCCTTCTGTAGTCTCGACATTGTATTCCTCTTTCTCGCTCCAACTTCTTCTCACACGCTCTCCATTTCTTGTTTTCTAAATTTTGATCGCCCCTCTATAATTGACATTATCACAGATGCCATTTTTTTCAACGATTTTCCATTTACCCCCTGCCATTCCCTTTCCCCGTTCCTTCCTTTACGCTCTTTGTACTCCAATTCTTGCTCCCGACCCTCATATCCCGTTCTCCGAACACCATTCTTCTTTCTCCTTCGCCCGTTCCCCAGGTTCCTCAGTTACTCGGTTCTACAGTTCATCGGTTCTCTCTTTCCATATGATAGCATGGTGTAGTTGAACAGACTTATCTTGAAAATCCGGTTGAACAAGTCTTTTGATGCTCTTACAAAAGAATGTTCAGGAATTACATTTATCTGCGTCATTACGCTCGCGCCAATGTAAACAACTAGCAGGTAATTTAGTGTTAACAACTGGGTTGAAAACGTAAATTAACCACCGTAAAGGGTAAAAAAGCTGACGTTTCGAGCGTTAGCCCTTCGTCAGAGCGATTGAACGCAGCACCACAGTTTCTTTAGAAACTTACCCCTTTATTCAATGTAAACAACTACATGCATTATGCAAATTACAGTTTAACTAGTGGGGCCATTCACACTTTTTGTCCCTTCAGTTTAAATTCATCCACTGATGAATTGCCTGACAATAAGTGGCCGCTAAGTTATTCTTGAGGATTTAAGGGGTACCACGTAACATCACAAAGAGAGGAGTTAAATTTCCGAAACAAATTCGGGAGATCCATGTTATTTAGACAGGGTTCGAATTATCAGTTACTATATTTAAGGACCCTCTCCCTCTAATTAAAAGGTCACTTCAGGCCAAACCTTTGATGTTTCTTATTTTTTCGCAAGTGATTATGTTTTTCACCTCTTATACTCACTGCAACGCACTCCTGATTGTATGTGGTGATGAAATGTGGTGTCTGAGATCGACGCTGGTCGCATTTTAAAGTTAGGTTTCCACTATAAATATGCAAATAGGGCATCGTGTTGAAATGGATTCGACACATACGATCAATCCTCGAAAACAGAAGGAATAGATCTTACCTGCTTCTGGATGCTCTACTGTAGCTTCTGGTGTCCACACTCCCGCTTTAACATAGCCCCTTCTCTCCATACAGAACAAAAAGCCCCCATCTCCTACAATAACCTCGCCGGAGTCAAGACGCTGTAAAATCCCTCGCTTTGATGAAGACATTGCATAAAATGAACTGTTACTTGGGAAAACGTGTTCTTACGCTTCAAGTAAACAAGTGCAAGATGAAAAAAAAAATATGTAGCTAATCAAAGCCTCATGTTTTTCCAGGTTCAAAACAAGTTGCAACTAGTTTGACCAGATGTAAACCAGATTGTTCGCTGCATCTTTAACATTTGCACCAAAAATATTGATAGTGATTTCAAAACGTTGTTAAGCGAGTAAAACTCATACATATTCAGAGAACTTCTTCCCTCTGAGCCACCTGCCTGAAGGCATCATAACTTTGGAGACAACATACTTTTAGAAAGAAAAGAAACCACAAAAATAAAAGTAAAACTTAATAATAATGGCTAAATGTTTTTTACGCCTTTGTGTCTTTTCTGTGTCACGCACCAGTCAACATGTAACAGTGCAAATCATGAAAATTTGGAAGCTGGAACAAGGAAATCTGGAACTGTTCCCGTATCTCCATGTTTAGTTCAGGGAAGGATTTGGTCATGAAACTTAACATGAAGCGCAACGCAGCAACCTGAGTCAATTGAAAAAACAATGTTCAGATTTCCAAAATTTAATTAGTAATATTAAAAATGAACTGTTAATCAATGTGAACAAACATGTTATAGTCCCTATGATTTATTTGATTTAAAGGAAAATGATGGTTTATTGCGTTGAAACATTTATCTCATCTCATCAGTAGTTAGTGAACGTGCAACGGAAAAATCGATAACATCAAAGGATCAAGCTTTCACCCCTTTGAAATAATCTTCTCCTCCCTCCTTCGCGTCGGCGCTATTTGGCCATACTTAGTGGGCTATCATTTACGCGAAACCCACTTCAATCCTGCTTAGCATGAGAGGTACACTTTCCTATCTTCCAGCTAAGCATAAAATCGTTATCATTCGACAATACCATTATGTTCCTCCACGAGAGCGTTAAGTATCGGAAGAGGTGACCCTATTCGACGGAATGACAGAGTGGTGGAGTATCATAAAACGCGGAATGACAGGCATCAGAGAAAATATCTATTTAGTATTAAAAAAACTTGATACTCGACTCGTTCTCCAAGTAGAATAAGGTTCATTTCTTTTTTATTCAGCCAGAATTTCATGCGGTGGTTTGTCTAGACGAACGTAAATGTTTTGTGAGCGAGAAAATGCAAGGAAAATATAATCATTCACGGAAACTCACATAAAATAGTTATTTACCTGAATTTACCCGAGTTAAAGTCATCTTGGATTTCAATTTCCCTACGTCAAGAGGTCACACGGTCCTCTGTCATTAGTGTTTGGGTAAAAAAAAAAAAAATAAGAGACAAATATCATTCCTACAAAAACATTTATGCGCGCAAATAACATCGTATCATGAACTACTAAAATTACGAGTGTTTGGTAACTACTTAAATAAGGAATATTCTCAGGCTGAATGTTTAGGAATTGTTTAGGCCAGTTACACTATCTTGAAATCCTTATGCGAGTCTCACTTGTGAGCCTTGGTTTGTTATATGCTGCAAGGCCACTCATTTATTTTACCCTTTGAGTGATGTGTCCTTGACCGTATTGAGGCTTCATTCTCGTACAATGATCGTCATTGCTGGTCGAGTTTGGGTTTGTCTTTGACCTTGCTCAGAATCCACACAGGAAGTTTTGATTTGGTTTTAGTTCTCGAAGATTGGTTGTTTTTCAAGTACTTTGTTGTTCGAATGTCTTGTGAGATTTTTTCGGTTAGCGCTCTAAAAATATGTGTACTCTGCCAAGGTCAGTTGTCCCATAATTCAAAACATGCCTACCAGTAGGGTAATTAAGAGCATATACTTAGGGCTGAATTTAAGAGAAAGAGGAAGGAGACAGTTTCAGAGAGTGAAATAAACTGTTCTTGATCAGACTCCTGGTGCCTCCCGATTGCGCGCGGATGTTGGAGCTGGTCTACCCCAACAGTCCAATAATGGAAAACACGCCTGAAACTCTAGTATATCAAAGCGTTTTCATTCTCAATTCATTGTAATGGCGATCAAGAGTGCACAAAGAATGCGACAAACCCTGCATTACAAGGATAACACGTTTCAGCGCTTATAATGCACAACAAGATCTTTCTAACTTTCATGGCATTGTATCGCTTCCATTATTTTATGCTAAGTATCTAAGTAGGTTTAATAAGAATTCCATTCGAACTAAAATATAATTATACTTTCCCAGTAACTTACTGGATCAGATCCTAGATTATGACAAACCGTTTTGCAAAATTTGGTGCAGAGCTATTGATAACAAAAACTTATCGCTGAAGAAAATAAAATATCCAAAAAAGTCTCTTGGCACCTCCGAGCTTTAAACCAAAATACAAGCACACAGTACGTCATTAGCAAGCTGACTCAGCAATACTGTGACATCGAAAGTAAGACTTGGGAAAAGCCCTAATTAATGCAAACAGAATACTGACACTCAGTTTCATGGTTCAGTGAGTTTGTGCGTATGCAGCAAGCTTATGTAGTTCTTCGTTAGTAGTCAGAGTCTTTTGCTGAATCAAGTTCTTGTCTTCCACTTTTTAAAGTAATCTTAAAAGATTTCTCAATTGTGAATCCAGCTCACGCAAAGTGCTACTGAACGGCCGACTGCTAGTGGGCAATGAAATCGGCAAACCCTGAAAATCATTAAAAGTAACAATAAAACATGATGGAACATTACTTTCTCTTGCCTTCTTCACTTGCCTTCTCTTATTTTCTCTTTTTGAACTTCGGCTTTTTTTAATACATCGGTCGGACTTGATTGAGCTTATTTAAAATTAGCTTTAACATAACCCCTTCTCTCCATACAGAACGAAAAGCCCCCATCTCCTACAATAACCTCGCTTGCATCAAGACGCTCTAAAATCCCTCTCTTTGATGAAGACATTGCATAAACCGAAACATTATTTTGGAAAACGAGAACAAGCGCAATGATACTAAAAATTTTCAGTTATGCTCAGCTTTAAAACAAAGTAGCCCTAACCCTAAGCAAAAACTTGTTTTATCGAGTTCAAAACAAGCTCAACTAGTTTGACTAGACAACTTGACAATTAGACTGTCCTTAAGTCATTGCATCTGCTAAAGAAATTAGTACTTAAATCCTAAAGACGTTTACATCGAAATAGCTCTCCTGCCTCTGACCCGCCTTGCTCAAGACGGAAATAATTTTGGAGAAACCACAAAGAAAATATATATATTTTTACCACATTTGGCGGTAATGTCCCAATCTGATTGGTCAATTGGCCGTTGTCGATAAGAGTACAGACATCGCTGCTCGCGTCACCGTGTCATGCAATGTCTGTAATGGATGACTCAGAAATTTCGACGTCGATAGTGAGGTGAAAAACAAATCCACAGTGGTAAAAACCACATTCAGGCAATCAATTTACAAGGAAATATGTAACAGTTTAAGAGGAGAGTTAACAATCAGATCTTGGGATTTAAATGATTAAGCCCCAGGAAAAAATACATGCTATTACTGCTATTGGTAAGTTTCCTCTTCGCCAGTGCGCGGTTTTTAAAGAACACAAACCCAACACTCGTCTGAACTCAGGAATCCAAAGAACATACGCAACAGGGTTGACAAACGAGTTGGACTAATTCAAAATGTTCACCATGTGATGAAACATCCAAGGCTATAAAGGCTGAGGAAATAAGGGAGGCTTTAGAGGAAACGGTATCAACGATCATGAAGAAAATAGAAAAGCTAATAATAACTCCCGACTTTGTAAATGAAATAGGACAACTTACAGAGCTCAATATGAGATCAACGAGGGCCAGATTAACAGCAAGAAATAAGGCTTTCTTACAAATTGTCTGCTGTTTTGTTTAGTTGCACAAATAGTTTAGTTTCCCAAATTAACTCCAAGAAATTTATTAAAAACTAAAAGCAGTGAATTCTCCAAGTAATTTACAATCTCTACGTAACCAGCATATATTTTATGTGAGAAGATTTACGACAGAAGATAATAAAATGCGTAGAGTAATTAACTGAAGTATGATACTTAACAATTTTATAACAAGCAATCAGAGCTAAAATACAGTTGGGTGTGAATAACAAGTTTCCATAAGACTCTTTTGTTTTTCATGTGCTCTACTGCACTTTCTTTATCCACCTTAGTTTGTGACTGCCATAGTCTGGCTTCAGAATCGAAGTTGAAGACATAACTAAAGGATAAACTTATATTTTGGTCACAGTGAGACAGAGTTAATAATGTTTCATGATATCAGAAAGCTTCAGTCCTTGTTCATGTACCTTAGTGATGATATTTTAAGCATCAAGATGTGCAACTCTAAATCAATATCCCTACTCAGTAGTAACGTGAGAATCACATGTGTACAGTTGATACATTTGTTACTAAACAGATTAGGATAAAATCAAACTAATCAGTACTTTACGTGAAAATTAAACAATGGTCTAGTATCTTCTTGTGTCTCTCCTTCTCCCAGATCTACAAAAAGAACAATACATCAGGAGTAAGTAAGCTTGAGAGACACTTTGATATATCCCTTAAAATCTAGTTATATATTCTGAATTTTGCAATGTATTTCATCAATCCTAGCGCTGATTGCTATTGACTCATATGCATATAAATTAGCCTTCCTTGGCTACGAGTACTTCTGCAAGCACCTCAGAGAATAATAATCATACCTGACAAAACAAAAAAGGTCTATATAACCTTGTAAAAGGTTTTAGGCTCACTGATAAACAGGGCAGACTAAATTTGGGGGTGGGGAAGGGTAACAACTTTTGTCAAAAAACATTGTTCAATGAGTTGAAACAGAATACATTTTGGAAAAACAGTCCAAAGCCTTAAAAAAGTCTTCCATTCGCAGGTTTTGATTGCATGCTAGACAAACTGTTTGCACTAATTGCAATAGATACAATGCAGGATTTAATACTTAAATGGTGACATTAGCTGGGGAATACATGAACAGTGATCTATGATGTGCTTGTTCTAAATGAGAAACCCTTCTTAAAGAGCAGGTGCAATAGAAGAAACATGACAATGAAAAATTAGAGTATTTTTGTTTAGCTCAAAAGCACTTAGCCAATCATGTTAGCTTAACAATAGTTCATACTCTGAAATAGACACAGACAGTCATAGAAATCTAAAGTACTCATCTACCCTGCAGATTTTCTTGGCCCTCTCACAAATGCCCAATCCACAGATATTTTTTGCTCCAGAAGGTCTGACCCATTCAAGGCTTCCATTGCCGCTTCGGCTTCTTTGAATGTCTCGTATTCCACCAGTGCATAACCCTACAGTACAGTGAACAAGCTCATCTGTTAGTGACATACTCAACTTACCAAAGAAGTATATCCTTAGAGAATCTAACATCTCAGAGTAAAAAAGGAAATGGGGTTTCAAGCCTCGCACCCAAATTTCTTGACATAAAATATTTGAGTAGTACGTGGAGTATAATAATCTACTTTTGTTTTAACCTTTTAACCTTTAAGAATGACTAACATCTTATTTCTCCTTCCAATTTCACCCAAATCACACAATAGGTCACAAGAATATAGGTAATGATCACCACCTAAAAAAGCTCTTGATTTTCATAGAAATTCTCCTTGTCAGTATCTGAGGAAATGCATAATGCAAATGGTAATTCAATGGCTTGGCAAGGATGGGGAGCCAAACAACCAAGGAAATCGATTTCAAAAAGGCACTGCACATAATTTGTCACCCTATCAACATGCCAACATTTGTCCAAATTCTCCCATGAAAGTTTCCAGCTCTTTGAACAAGACATTGGGGCTTAGCAAAAGCAGTGGTAATTTAATTCAAATGAAACAGTATGGACATTATAATATGCATATTGATATCAGAGAGTAAAGGATTAATTGCACTAACTGTTTGTACTCCATAACACTCTTTGATTTACCTTCAGAAAGCCAGTTCTTCTATCCAAATTGGCATGAAGATTTTTTATTTCTCCATATTCAGAGAATAAGTCATGAATGTCATCTTCTTGAGCTTCTTCGTGAACATTGGTAACAAACAGAATCCAACCTTCAACAGCTGAAATAAACAGCAAACTTGTAGAATCCTTTAATTTTCTTTTTCATAGTTTGCTTAATTAGATATATTTGTTGAAGGTTCCAAGATAAAGAAATTTTAAGTAAAAATATATGTAACACTCTTAATTATGCTGAACATGGGCCAGGACTGAACATAGCAACAAGATATATTTGTTGTTTGCTGAATCAAAAACTTTATATGTCTCTATTCATATGTCTGCAAAGTCTCTGCAAACTAATCACAAACTTTTAAGTGCTCCAATGTGATTAATATTGCTCATTCAGGGCAAAGAGTGCAGTTGGAAATGATTGAAAACCCCATTCTGTAAGCAACTTTATAATTTGATAAGTTTATTATTTTGTTCCCATAGTTTTGAGCATTCTTATGCATGCTTGGAGTGGTAGGTTGACAGTTGCTGAGTCAAGTTTCTTTTAGAAATTCATTTAACTAATCAGATATGGTTAAAAAAAGGAAAACATACATCGTGCTGGGCCTGTTCCACTAGCCTCATCAGTTTCCATGGATTCATACTGTTCTTGGGCACGCGAGGATGAATCACCTGGAATATTTGACCACAAGATAAGTCAGCAATGCATGGACCTTAATCCAGTAAGGCTGTGTTAGCAGGGAGTTGTACAGGACAAAATATCTCGGCTCAATGTGCCAAATAGCAGTTTCTCTCCCCCTCAAAAGGAAGTTTTCTTTCAGTTGATTGGGTCTTCGATCGATCCTTAGACATAATGACTGTACATTTTGACGCCTTAACTGAGTCCCAGTGAGCTTATCGCGAACCAGAATCGAACCTCTCAAATACTACGAAGTGTTATTTGATTTACTTGACATTCACCACGGCTCAAACCTTAACGTTACTGATCGAAAAGTTTTTCTTTACGTACTCGCTTTGAATCCTCTTCCTTTGCGCTTTGTGACAGTAGACTTCAATCTCTGAATTCCGTCTGCAAAGCAGCACAAATCATAACAAAATTACTTTGAAACTCGCATAACCTTAATATTATTTCTTGCTGATGTCATAAAAGCTCTTACCATCGCCTTCGTCTTCTGAAAAACCACCTTTGTCTTCCACATCTACATCAAGAACATCCGCCATTTTGCTTTCAAGCGTGGTCTCAAGTTAACAAACGCATGCTCAGCGGATGATAACGCACGCTAGTCAGTTTAGGGTAACGCGGGCCCACCAATGAAACTGACTTCCCTGTTAGAAATGAGACGATTTCTGTCATATTTAATTCTTTTTTTTACTGTGTGACGAGATTATGAAGAGCCTTTTTCTCATTTAGAGACCATGAGACCAGTGGAACTGGAAGGGCAATGGCACGAAAGCTTAAGGAAATGGGGAGAGAAGAGATACAACATTCATGGGGGTGTGAAGTGGGAAGGAAATACCATTATCTGGGAGTCTCCCGGATACAGAGCGAATCTCCCGGTCTCCCATATGGTTCACCAAATCTCCTGTGTGAAAGGGATGAACAAGCTTTTAAAGAGTATGCTCCACTGTAGACTAACATTGTATCCCCAGATTTACCCAAATCAAACCAATATTGGTTTTTCAAACTTGTCTTACCATTTCTTACAGCATTTTCATGCAACCACATCTCGACAGACACTCAAACATAGCCATCTCTGTAATTTGGGAAGGGAGATCCATTTTATTGGGGTGGGGGGGGGAAAACCATTTTTTAAAGTTGGGGGGAGGGGTGGTGCTGAGTTGATGCTGTGGTAGCATAAAGGAAAAATCTCCAGATTTCATATCTCCACAGGTTGGCATCTGTAAAATACTGAATTGTGAACCTTGATTAGACTTCAGTTGGCCTTTGTGTCTGGTGAAAAAAGATGGGACATAGGGCTTATTGGTAAAGGAAGCTGGAGAGCAGGATGAGTAAGAGAGGTTTCAAGCCATGTCTCCTGACTTAGTACAGGTCCTTTTGCAGCATTGTGATAAAAGTTATAAACAGTACTGTTGTTGCATTTTTGCACAACACTTTTCAATTAAAGTTACAACTCACAAGATATTTTGACAGAAGGTTCTATTTTTCTTCAGAATGATCTACTGTAGTACATCTTTTCTTTTGTTTAAGTAGTTATTGTATTAAATAACAAGTTCATAAAGATCATAGTTCACAAGCAGCTAGGAGAAGGAGAAGTGCAGTTTTAATGATAATGGTTAAAAAATTAGTCCATGAAATAACAATAGTGACAATGTCCCTGCTTCAGAATCAAGCATCGCTGTCTTCATCATTGTCATTTGAAGCGTAGAGTGTCTGATTTCTCCTCATAATTTTCAAAACCTTTTTTTGAGGTTCTAAACGTGAACTGTCATGAGTTACCTCCTCATGCTCACAATTTCTACCCTCAGTGTGAGGAGAGTCATCTTCACACAATGCATAGTGCTCTTCACTTTTAGTAAAAATATTCACAGGCTTTGGAAGTTCCAATAGAGACCTGTTTTGATTCAGTTTGTTCACATCAGGAGTTGGAACAATACTGACAACAGATGAATCAATGTTGGGTTCTGCTTCAGTCACATCAACTTCATCATCATCAACGATAATTTCATCAGGATTACCAAGAAAGGTGGAGTTATTTTCATCTCCATCACTTAGCTCTATTTCTTCGGGATTGGGGCAAGGAGTAACAGACTTTTCAGAACAGCAGGGATTGTTAATTCCAAGTTTGGCACAAAAAGTCTCAGTTTGAGGGTTCATAACAGCCAGTATTTGAGCCATGTAAACCTTTTTTGGTTTATCTGGATTGTATGGAGTGGTAGTTATCTCAAAATTGTCTGTAATCTTTGGTGGGCTTCCAAATGTTTTAATAACTTCATCAACCATCTGACCATCAGGTATGTATTGTGATATTTGTTCTGCATTTGGTATAAATGTTGTCCTTGGTGTTGAATTGTTAAGGGAACTTGTAAGCTTTGTTATTGCAAGCCATTCAGGATCATAAGTCAGCTCTAGGGGTGCTTGCGAAGGACCAACATCAATCACCTGCAGAAACTCTCGTCTTGGAAGGCATTTATCAAGGGCAAGAAACTTGGTGAATTTGAATCCCTCTTGGGATTCATGTGGTACTAAGGCTGGAAACTTTGTGTGCAGGTGTGCTGAAAACCAGTATGTTGGCTTCAGTGAAGTCAGTAACTCTGCTGCTGGAGGACTTCCCAATGTGTTGCTCTCAATCTCTGGTTTAAGAAAGTCCTTAAACCTGTATAATTCTTGAAGGTTTCCATGGTGATAAACTCCTTGAGGCCAGTCATGTGACAGGAAAATATCAATTGGCTGTGAAATAAGTTTCAACATGAAGACATCAAAACTTCTAATGTGATATGCACTGCGAACAGTGGAATCGTTGTATGGTGGCCTCTCAAAATGTCCTTTGTTGTAATCATGACTTTTGTAGATGCCTGACAGACCACCAATTCTCATACCACCGAAGTTGACCACCCCAGCATACCCCAGATAGTAGATATTTGGGGCTACCCACCCTCCATAAGGTAGTTCCCACAAATGATTGGCAGCCTCATGATTCCCTCCTATGAAGATTGTAAGTACAGGGGCCTTCTTCTCTCCGGAATAGTACTTGTAAAATGTTTGCATATGCCGATACTTTGGAGGGACTGCCATGCAAGAAAGATCATCTTCATTACGAACAGCTTGAAAATCTCCACAGCACAACAGCAGGTCAACTTTGATGTCTTCCTTCTTTTCCAGGTGTGCAATGGTTTCGTAAATCTTGTCCAATTCACCATGACAGCAACCTTCAACAGCGATCTTCATTTTAAGGGATTTTTGATCAGGCAGCAATTTTTATAACGCCACGAGCTCAAATCCTTCGGCACATGAGCCCGCATTAGGTTGCACTTGAGCATTCGCGCATGCTTCAATGTTTCCTCGATTTGTCACGAAATTTAAAGATGGCGCAGGTTAGTGATGAAATACTTAAGTTTTATTTCCTTAGATTATCTCCTTTCCTCAACAAGCTTCATCACCCTAGCGGAAGATAAGCTAAAAATTCTGCTTTTGATTCTTGTTTTGCTACAGCAAATGTTACTCGGAAGGTACGTCTGTCAAAGTTGTCGCAACTTTGCGCGTGTTGGTCTGTTAGATACACGTGCAAATCAATATCTTGTGAGTTCTTCCATTCTTCCAAGTAGACTTCGACAAGGAGAATGCAGCTCTCAACAGGTACTGTTTTTCAGTGTAGTATTTGTGTGTTGTAGCGCATTAAGTTAGCGCCACAGTCCTTTGGAAGTGTAACGTTGCTAGCTAGTAGATTAGGCGATTATATAACTATGATCATCAGGTATTTCACGATAAATTAATTACTCGCTGCCTTGAACGACTGATTTTGAAGTTGTATGTAAATTGTATAAATCTTCATGGTTTTTTTTCAAGACATCTGGTGTGAAATGACAATTTCACACACATGATATGAGGACTAATCTCCCTAACCAGTTGACAGTCAATGAGAATTTTTAATTTCTATCGAGACAATGCATTAAGACTGTTTGGTGAATGTGCTAAAAGATTGTTCCTTGGAGTGAAAGAGGTGATGATGGTGTTGACGCCTTTACATCACAGATCAGATGGTATGCTTACAGAAGACCAGACCAACAACCTGGGTTAATTGGAAGGTTTATAGAAAATATCAAGGAAGGCTTTGAGAGAAACAAAGAAATGCAGGTTTGTTCAAAGAATGTGTTCAGTCAAAGTTATCAAATATATGTTCATATAGTAAGAATCATTTCAAAGTTTGAGTTTGTTTTCAGTGTGTCAAATGTGTAAATTTGTATACAGTGAATATTACTTAAGATGAAAATGAAAGATTGAGTTTTTTTTCATCGTGTAGGAAAATATTAGAAAATTTCAAGCAGAAACAAAAAAATATGAGCAGACAGAGACATTGTCAGGGAGGGTCAAGCTTGTCAATAAGATTAAGGTGAGTCTTGAGGTGTACTTTTTAAACAGAGGAGTATGCCACAAACTGCGCCACTTGAAGTAACCTAAATGTAATTTACAGCTCCATTGTAAGTGAGGTAATCTGAATAAGGGTAGTCCTTAAGAGCACTGTTCATGATGCTCTGACTGACTATCCATCTACCAGCTAAGAAGTCATTGTTTATGTGATAAAAGTAACTGTTACTCAAAGGTTCAACCTTTTTACTATATTAAATTATGCAATCTATAAAAAGTTGAATGTGATGACAAGAATGTGTGGCATTTGTCATTCCTAGGATAATGTGTCATCGGCATCAATGAAAACTTCAGCAGTTGTGAAGAGCTTTTCAGGAGCATTTTCAACAAAAGTCTCAAAGGTTTGTTTGTACACCAGTGTGTATTTATTGGCAGGGTTTGATTGGAGAGAATTCGTTGGTTCAACTTGATATGTGTTTTTACCTAGAGAAATGTCTCATCATTTGATAAGTTATTTAATAATGTGTATATAAAAATGACCTAAGTGTTAAAATTGGTTTTGTCAGGCATACGATGAAGCAACATCAAGTGAAGCATTTAAAAAGGGAATTGAGGTCACTGAAGAGGTATGTGGAGTAAAAAGGAAAAACAACAACCACAACAACTGGAAATACTAGAAATGATTGATCATCAGTCAGAGGCTTGCTTATTAGTGAGCAACATTTTGAGTGATTGTTAGGCAGACTGACCAACTGACAGATTCACTGACCATTTGAATAAGCAGGTACCAAACCAGACATGATTGGAGCATGAATCTTGTATATGATTGTAATATATGGTTCTTGTTTTTTAGTTTGCAAAATCTGCTAAGGAAGCTGCTTCAAAGGTCCAAGAGCAGAGTGAAATCCTTGGAAAAACAGAAGCATTTAAGGCTGTGTCCACTGTGAGTAAACTGCATAGGTAGCAGTTTTATTGTCTTCAGAGGGATTTACTTCTCATAATATAAAGTACTGTACCACTTTCTGTAACTTGTGACTCTTTTTGGTGAGATGGCTTAAAAACCTCAGAATATTACTTCAGGGATAACCTTGTTTGGAAATTTAGATGAACTTAAAATTTATCTTTAACTTGCTGTTATTTCAGTATTTGCCTCTGTCAAATCTTTCCCACCTTTTTGCAGGGTTTTAAAACTTTCAAGCATGAGGTTCTTGATGAAGAACTTGAAAAATCAAAGCCATATAGAACACCAGGTTTGAGAAACTATGCTATCATTGTAATCAGTGCACTGGTCAAGCTGATGAAGCTTGGCAGACTGTGCTGTGTACATACACCTTTTTTCTTTCTTTTTGGGATAATATGTATATGACTAACATTTATATGTATTTTTTCATGGATTATTAAGAGAAACTAAGACGGCGTACTGAACAGGAAGAAGGAGGTGTCATGAAGAAAGAGAGGAGAATTGAAGCAAACGAGTAGGTATCTATGTATTCATAGGCAGCTGTTGAAAACACAATTTGATCAAATATTATTTGGTTTTTTACATGAAACTTCCATTTAATTTCCATACAACAATTTACAGAGATGATCAAACTAAGGAACAAGCTGTTGTGAAAGTTGGTGTGTTTCTTTTGCAGCGGCGTCTATAAAAAACAGATGATTATTGTTATTAATAATGGTAATTACTAATAACAATTGTCATACCTTGCAGGGATGCAACAGGAGTGGTGCTACACAAGGATTCAAAATGGTACCAGCAGTGGAAAGAATTTAAAGACAACAATCCTGTTGTGACAGGTAACATCCTTCATACCTCCTCATGATGTAGTGTTGAGATTTTAAGCTGTCAAATATAATGTGATTATATTATTGGTCTCTCGTCAGGGCTTTTTAATCTTAAAACAAAATATGATGAAAGTGACAATGTGGCTGTGAGAGCATCAAGAGTTGTGACAGATAAGCTGCAAGACATTTTTAGTAAGTAAACAGTATTAACACACTTGTCCACAGAGGAAAAGTGCATAGTAAAGAAGGCTTGTTAGTCAGTGAATACTTTCTCTCTCCTTCTGTTCAAATGATGTTGCACCAGAATTAGTAACAAAAAATTTTAAAGAAGTATTGATGGTTATGACTAGGATAAGGATCATGATGGTACTGGTTGATTTTGAATAGTTTTCATGTGGATAATAACAAAGATAAATTGTATTAATAGCAACTTTAAATAGTGAAGTTTTCATGTTATTAATAAGTTCTCAATAATTTCCTAATTTTTCAGGTGATGTATTTTCCCAGTCGGATACTGCAAAAACAATGGCTGAAATAACAAGAATTGATCCACAGTTTAACAAAGACAGCTTCCTAAAAGAGTGTGAATTTGAAATCATTCCATCAGTTCTTGAGGTAATTGATCAGATGGCTTTTGTAGTGAGAAAATGTGTTACTTGCTTATAAACATGGTTTCATGTCATATTTTTACATACAATTATAAAAAATATTGTTTTATCTCTTTTGTTTCCAAGGCTTTCTTAAAAGGTGACCTGGAAATATTAAAAGACTGGTGCCATGAACCGGTAAGTTATTTATCAACTCCTCGGATAAAAACTGTAGTAGATGATAATTTTATGACACTGTAAAACCAAGCCTGTGTTCTGAATTCTGAGCAATCATACTTGCAGCAATTAAAACGCCCTTTGTATACTGTTAGATGTCTCAAAGAAGTCTAAAACCTAAGAGAATTTTGTTTTTTGTCCAGGCGTACAATGTCTTAGCTGCACAGATTGAGCAGACTAAACAACTGGGACAGAAGTTGGAAGCAAAAATCCTTGATGTCAGAGATGTTGATGTAAGTGGTGAAGTGTGTGTCAATTTTGTTACTCTAGTGACATGTTTAGTTGTTAATATGTCTGTGGCTGAGAGATTGATGAAGATGAGTATTTTACCAAGAAGTAAAGCCCTGATAATCGTAACTCTACATTACATTCTTAGGTGGCAATGGCCAAAGTCATGGAGCAAGGACCAGTCTTAGTTCTCACCTTTATGGTTCAGCAAATAATGATCCTTAAAGATGCTGTTGGCAATATTATTGAAGGTGGTGAGGTAAGAAATCTTTCTTAAACAGTTTCATTGTCTATAGTGGCATTACAAGCACAAGCTGTGCATCGAAGTCTCTCAAGGATGGATCTAGTAAGTAAAAGTTGAAAGTGAGGAGTGGAAATATTCATAAGGTTTTATTTGGTGTAGGGTATAAATTATTGATTGTTGTTTCTCTTTTTGTAGGATAACATTGAAAATGTAAGCTATGTGTGGGCACTGTGTCGTGATCAGAGCATATTGGATCACAGATCTGCGTGGAGGGTGTTAGAGTTTGGAATTCAGAACAGCAGCTCTTATCTTTGACAAGCCCAAAATTGAAGAATGGGGAACTTCCATTTTCTTTTAATTCAACTGTACAAAATATTGAAAAACAAAAACCATTGACAACTTTGTCCTCTTATTTGCCTGTTGCTGTGTGTCTTTATTATATGATTTTATTAAAAATATTTGCTAACATATTGCATCACCATGTATCTCATGTTATTTTGCATGGACACTGTTGTGATAATGATCTTCCATCTAGTAGTGGTCTTCTATGTTGCTCAACCAATTTTTAGTGAGCAGAGGTTATTTAAGGCTCAATTTCACCTGCTCTTCAAGACTGGAGAAACAAATTTAAGTAACAGGAATCAATTATTTTAATCAGCAAGAATACAGTACCTGTGGTAAGCTTCAGTTTGGTTGTCTATCAAATTGTTGATTTGTAAATATAATGCACAGTTGGACAGTTTTTATGAGGAATTAACTATTATACTTTGGTGCTTCCAGTTTGGCATACATTATGCCTGATGATGTTGAATGCATTCTTATGTTCACAAACATTGTAATATCTAGATTAATGATACTACTAGTAGGATTTGTGACCAATTTGGGTAGAGTTAATTTATGAAAGCAGATATGAATGCCACTGAAATAAACATTGTTTGTCTTGGTTTCCCATCATCTGAGGCACAATGTATTTGAAGTTGTGTTGTGAATTTTGTGAACCAAATATAATGATAAAATGTTTTCTTGAAGGTACCTAGACCTCCTAGTTGAGCCAATTTGATTATTTTAAGAACGGTGTAAGAATTTGAATCAGGGTAAGGATGATGAGGTGAGGGGATGAGAATGGGAGGGGAGGGAGAAGGGAAAACATTATCAGCTCTTTAATTTGTTAATGTTTAATCTTGAACGTGTAGCACCAGATTCGTCTGAATTTACCTTTTTTCCCCCAAAATGTGACGCAACGAGCTATCCACCGTATCGAGTGCAAAAAGTACTATGAGCCTCATCTGGGTGAGGGAACCGTGGGAGAGCTGGATCTCAATTTGGAAGTTACAACTTAATTTACATCACACTCTTGCTTGTGCTGCTCCTGTGTTGCAAGTTGAAAAGAACAGTGAACTTGGCAAGAAACCTTTCAAACCTCTTTCCGACAAGCCTCTATTTGTGCGCGAGCTGACGTCACGTGACGATTCTTCCATGTTACATATATATATATATATATCACCGACTGGAAGAAATTACGCCGTTAGTTACTGGCGTAAAATCTTCCATATAAAACAACCGACTGGAAGAAATTACGCCGTTAGTTACTGGCGTAAAATCCTACATATAAAACAACCGACTACAAGAAATTACGCCATTAGTTACTGGCGTAAAATCTTCCATATAAACACAACCGACTGCAAGAAATTACGCCGTAATTTCTTCCAGTCGGTAGTTTTATATGGAAGATTTTACGCCAGTAACTAACGGCGTAATTTCTTCCAGTCGGTGATATATATATATGTAACATTTTACGCCAGTAATATAAATTAATTATATTTTAATTTATTATAATTTAATCACCGACTGGGTTAGTGGCGTAGAATCTTATAGTATATAGACTGTGTTAGTCGATTATTACGCCGTTATATATATTCCCCATCGTGCGAAGACATGGTCAGTCAAATTTTTAAGAAAACTGTCACGGGGCTTCTTGTGATTGCTTTCTGCCTCGCAGGCATCGCGAAAATCACAGACAAACTTTCTCCTAAAGTCCACCACCAAATGGTAAGCAGGCTCGATCCTTAAGTTTCAGGTGCTGATTGTTAAAATTTAAGTTATCTTGCGTTTACAGGGAATATAGTTTAGTTAAAACTCACACCTTTTGCTTTAATGTCTTCTTGTTTTATTGCTACGTATTAATTTACCTCTTAACCTCGTCTTTACCGTCTTGTTGATGTTGAGTAGCCCTTTCTGCTTTCATTACAATTGTTATTCCACGACCCGAACAGCGATCACGCGAATCTCAGACAATCCCCTTGAGTTGTTTTGGTTTTGATAAGCACTATACCAGCTCTTCAGGAGCAGTTTTGCTATCGTGGAAGTCTGTCTTTTCCAAAACTTACACAAGAGTACAAGTTGATATTTAGCAGTGAATAACTGATTTCTGATATCGCTTTTCGTTTGTTTACATTAATTAAACTTAGCCCTTGCAAAATACAAAGCGTATTACTTCTTCAGCTTGTGTTTAATGTACACGCTTTGTTGTTCACCCCTCTTTTTCTTGATTACACATAACTGGTTCTCTTAATCATGCAGGGTTTTCATGTCAAATGTTTAAAAAAATCAGTAATCAGGATTAGCAAACAGCAGGAGGGGGGTCTTGATCCTGTTTCACGCTTGAATTTACAGCTGACATTCACACAGTTTTTCATGCGCCACTCATTTTAAAAGGAAAACTTCTGATTGCACCTTATCTTGTAATCCTGTAAAATCACATGTCACATGTCCTTAGCTCTAACATTAAACCTTTTGTCATGTATAAACCCTTTGCAACCCAATTCAGGTAACTTTAAATGAAATAACTTCATTTGCTCTGATGAAGGGCTAATGCTCAAAATGGCAGGTTTGAAACTCTCAACAGCGGCTAAGTTACGTTATCAACTCAGTTGGTCAGACCAAATCACCTCATTAACTCCAATTCAGGTGGCTCAAAGAGATATCAAATTGGGGGGTAGGGTCATTAATCTTCTGGAATGCCTCTAATGGGTTAGTTGTTATGTTTCTTTGGAGAACATGGTATTTATGACAGTGTTTTCTTTCAACTCACCAGAAACGTGATTTTGCTGACCTGGCAAAGGTAAATCCTTTGAAGGTGTGGTTTCATCATGATGTAAACTCAGACATGTATTGTCTGGTTATTGGCTACCTGGAAGTAATCTGTGCTCTTGTTCTGTATTCTGCACCAAGGCCTTTAAAGTTTTTAGGCATAGTAATTCTTTTAATCATCATGGCAATGATAATGCAGGGACTCTATTGGCTGGGAAAACCTGCTGTTGTTTTTGTACCTGGAGCAGTTTCCTCAATCCTGCTTGTAATCAATTTCATAACACTGTTAGCAGAGGCTCCACCAAAGCAGAAAAAGAGAGAGTGATTCACAAATGTTGAATGTGTCCTTATCATGGCCGAATCATTTTGCTAGAGGAGATCAAATGCTCTAGGACACATCTGTCTATCTGTCCAAAACCTGTAAAAATTAATTTTTTTGCATAGGAGTGAGGGATCATTTCCTGATCAGTACCTGGTATTCAAACCACTTTTTGCATGAATGCGACTTTGTATGTAATGACTAAATTACTACATCCTTTAAGCTCCTGTGATTTTCTGCTGAAGAAAAGTGAAATGTTTTTTACCAAGAGAGAACAAACTAAACTGATTACTATGGTATGTAGAATCCTTTGAAGATTTATCCATTTTGCTTCAGTTCACATGCAACACACATTCACAAAGTTTCAGTCTTGCTAGTTGGAGAGCATTTTATATCCTTGTGAATTAGAACTTAGAGCGAGACCAGCAGTGACAAGTTCAGCGTAGTTGCTGGTTTTGGATTTTTTTTTCATATTGCAATAAAGAACATAACTTTAGTTTACGAGTTTTTTCTTATTTTATTTGGCGTTCTCCCCTCCTCCTTCCTCAGTCAAATACAAGGCCCCACGGATATAAGCGCACTCAAATCTCAGCTGCAGTAGTTTTCATACCGGAATCTTGCGGCATGACGAAAATATTTTTATTTATTTGCGAATTCCTATCCTTGGTAGCCGAAATCACGCAATTTCGTTCCCGCATCAATTTGGGGCTTCTTTGCACGCGAATTGCGCGCGAGAATGTCTGTTATCTATCCACCCGAATATAATTCTCTAATTGTGCCAAAGTAAACCATCGTACAGTTCATTTGGCAGCTCAAAAAATCCTGACTTGTTTATTTTGGAAGCGGAGATGTCTCGGAGGATATCCTTTAATCCTTTTTGACCTGTCAATCTTTGCCAGTGGGGACAGGTCAAATTTCGTGTTTCCTGCTGTGAAAACGAAATACCGTAAGAACGCCCCTGGATTGCAGCTGTCTGTTACAAATCGAGCTAAAATCGGTCGCGATTATGGCTAATAAACTTTTCCCTCTCGTATTTGTTTACATGGCGCTCTGTTGTTGGGCAGAAAACAACGAAAGGTAAGTTAAGATTTCACTTGTATGACATGTGAATGACGCCTGCTCTTGAGATCTACAGACAGCTTTGTCTGCTTTGTGCCAGGTCTACTGTTGTAGCTAATTGCAGGTTTAAGTAGGTTAAGTATTATCCAAATCTTCGTTTACCCTAACACATAATAAACGAAGTGGGCGTTCATGATCAGAATAGCGTTGTTCACAAACTCCATATTTATTAACATGATAACTTCCTATCATACTACATGTAGCTTGCTCTTTCAGTCAATGGAACCACACAACTGTGAACGGAAACTTTTCGTAGTCATTCAGAAGAGTGAGGAATGTACTACTAGGAAAGTGGTCGAGTGGATGAAGGCTAAAGCGAAAAAGGACAAAAAAAAAACTCTTCTCATACCAGTAAGAAATAAATATGCCCGCACAGTGTGGGAAAAAAATACAGACAAATTACTGTTGTTTCCACATAACTTAATCTCCAGGGCACAATCTTGTTTATTATAATAGATGCGACTTTTCTTCATTTCGTTCACTGTCTTAGGAATCCTCCAAAAATAGTTACTAAAGATGGCAGCTTGGTTTTAAAAGCTGGTGAAGAAGGTGATATCATTTTTGAACCAGGTCAGGGAAAACAAGTCTTCATTGGGAAAAATGCACTGGTAAGTAATGATCTTTCTCTTGGTAACCTTAGATTTTTGCCGTCCTACTTTAGTAGCTAATCTATCTGAGTACTTATAATTTTTTTGTCATCTTTTGGTAGAATATGTCTGGAGTCTCTGATGCTAAAGGAGAGGTATTTTGACAATTTTACTCCAAAATTTGGTGTTTTTTAATAATGAATAATGACTTAAATTACTTAAGATTAGCAGTATAATAGTATTACTAACTCAAAACTGTTTGAATTTTTAAGAAAGGGGATCAAGGAGGTCAAGGTCCTGTGAGTAACAGAATTCATTAAAACTATAACTTGATTTTAAAATTAATTTCTTCATGTCCAATGATTAGTTAGTGACACTCATTATTCCAAAATAAGTGTTAACTACATAAAATGTTTGAAATTCTAAAAAGTGGGAAAACATTACATCATTGTGTAAATTAATATTAATAGTAGTCACTTAAATTATTCAATGTGGTATAATTTTCTCAACTGTAGGCAGGTGGTAAAGGAGAAAAAGGAGAAACAGGGCCACCAGGACAAACAACATTTATGGTAATCATCATCATTATTGTCAATGTCATCAATCACATTGTATGGTTGATTTTTAACGCTGGAAACTGTTAATAGTTTGGATTGCATAACAACAGATCCCTTCACAAGTTTGCATGTCTTTATAAATCAGAATGGAACTGCAAACATGACTGGGCTTCCTGGACAAAAGGGAGAACAGGGAGACCAGGGAATAAAAGGCGAGACAGGAAATCCAGGTCTGAATGGGACCAAAGGGCAGGTAATGGGATCAATTTTATATCACCTCAGTTTACAAAAATTGTAAATTGAATATATCGACCTGTTTGTTGTCAAAAAAGAATATAGAAAATATTTAGGATTAGATTCAATCAATGTCTCTTAACAGAAATAGTGTGATTCACTATCTACTTGTATTTAATGCACCCCTTATGACTTTACGTTTCTGGTTTTTTCTTTTCAATCATTTTAAATTTTTCTATCCAGAAAGGTGAACCAGGCATTCAAGGAGTACCAGGGAAGGTATAAGGTTTAATTCATACATAATTGTCAATTTTAATTTTTTATTTAATTAAAAGTTCTCCTAACTTGCATGCAGGGAAATGTAATGCAAACACTATTAAGAGTGGTTTGTTGAAGTGGTGTGAACATGAAAAATCATCTGGAAGTAAACTGTTGGTATATACACTTTTTGGGTAGAATGGGTCTGATGGGATTCAGGGTCCTACTGGTGCAAAAGGAACAAAAGGAGAACCTGGACAGCAAGGCCCACCAGGGTCATTATTGAACACCCCAAATCAGACCACTTTGAGGTAGGTCCTTTTACTGATGAGTGTGGATGAAATATCATAACATAATTATTAGTCTTTATTATTCTCTGGTGGAACCACGTGATGTTTGTTGTCTCTGTATCCTTTTCAGATGTGAAAATGCAAGTGATCATGGCTCAGTTAGGTTTATATCAGGATTTCTTCAGGTAGTTACTGAATGTTTTGTCATTAACTCAAAATAACAAATAATCTGATTTATAAATTGATGGGTCCAGTCAAGTAGTTGCAGACCATAAGAGATTTAGGTGAATAGAACATGAATTTTTTTTTTAATGTTTTTTTTTTAACTACCAGTACTAGTACTTCTCTTCTCTGGTCTTGGCCAAAAAATTAAACAGCATCCATGATTGTATGATCAAAATTAGGAATATATATCAGTCATAAAAGGTTAATTACAGAATATTTCTGAAAGTGAAGTAAGTGTAGTGACCTCTTAAGGACAGAATATAATTTGGCAAAATGCACTAACAATCACTCAAACATGCTGTAGGTTTGCACTAAACTAGGCTGGCAGAAGCTGGTATATCAGGGAGGTGTGTGTGAAGGGCTGAATGTACCACAGATAAACCATGAAGCTTTTAAAAGCTCAACATTTGGCCTGCTGTTACAGTTCAATGGAAATCTGGATGTAAATCTCAGTCCTAACACAACCTTAAATAATATCACTACAGGTAAATCTAATGGTAAAAACATATCCTTCAATTCTGTGCAGTAAGATGTAAGTTGTGAAGACCTTACATGACTCTTCAGTGATTAGAACCCAGGAAGTGCATAAAGAGGTGTTTGCTAGCAAGTGTAATAGATACTATGTAAGTTCTGTTACATTGCAAATGTTCTCTACTTTTTTTAAAATAACTGACTTCCTTAGAGTGACTGGCTTATGACTTCTCCTTCCTTCTCACAGTATCACCCTTGAATCACCAATTTAAGCAGCTTCTGATTGTCAAACAACTTCTCCTTGACAGAACCATAAGAAATGTAAAGAGATCAGTGTGAAGAATATGAATACTATATTAGTGACAATGTGAAAGGTTTAGTAATCAAAATACAAAAAAATGCAAAATGATAATAGATTTAAATTAAAATAAATATGGAATTACTGTAACACATCATTTAGGGTAAAGACATCTATATCTCTGATCTTAGAGTACCTAGGTAATGCTGGAGGGCAAAACATCACTCAATATATCACCAGTGTAATGGGTCAAGCTGTATGGCTCAAAGGCCTGGAATACATCAATTTGCATGGCATCCCAGTGGATTTCTGGAGTGGTGATGAATGGTCTGTTATGGCGTTACTTAGGTCTCATGATGATGGCATTCTAGGAAGTAACAAAGAGGTTCTTGTACTTGGAGATGGGGTAGCAGCAAACAATAAGGGCTTTCACCTCGGATTGCGAGGAAAGGTATAATCTGACAGCCACAGACCTCTTTTGCAATAGCAAAGTAGCTTTTGACTGAAACCTCTATTGTCTTTTTCTCATGTTGATGTTATGCCAAGTGGGCAAAGATACATGAATAAAAAAGAACCATAACTAGTAGGCTCACCATGAAAGATATCCATGAATTAACCCTCAAGATAAATAATGTTTGTTTTAAAATTGCCATTAGAAAGCTTCTCTGGGTAAAATGATGACCAAGCGGGAAGGTTTCACATTCCTTTACTATTTGCTTTGTGACTTAAATTTGCCCAATTGAAAAAAAAAAGAAAGTATTTTTTTTCTTTTGTTAATGGATTGCACTCTCCAGAATGTTGTGTATGGATTCTATTCAAATGACCTTATGGGAAAAGATGCACTTGAATATGGAAGATGGTACCACATCACATGGACTTGGACTAAAGCTAATGGAATCCGGTGAGATAGATGCTTTATGCTCACTTTATAAACACTTTGTCACGTGACCACTACTTGTTCTCTTCCTTTCCTCTTTTCTCTTTTTTAGTATGCTGGGCTGTGCAGCTTTTCTGGCCTCTACTTTTACATTGGGCGAGGCCCTCATGGCAGAATTTTATTTACAGGAATTCTTTTCATTAAAAGCAAGCGAGAGCCATACTGGTCAATTGATAATTATTTATATTTGTTTGTTATACCATAAAGTCCTCATCAAATCTACAAGAAAAGGTACACTAATCTTTTTAATCTCCACAGAAAAATATTTGTCAATGGTAAAATGGACAACTCTGCAAAAGGGACAAGTGCCTATGATGGAATGAGTGGAAAAACTCAAATTGGAACATGGTGGAGTGGAAATAATGGATTGAAAACCAATGTAGAGATTGACAATCTCTATATAATTGACAAAGCAATTCAGTACTCTACAGACCAGCAGCTGTGTTATGCAAGGGCAATCAACCTGAACATGCCATAGAACTCTGAATGCCAAATAGCATCAAAGACGAAAAATTTGTAAGAAAAAATTAGTCAGTTCAGTCATCACTTTTCCACAACATAGGCAAGATTAATGCTTCTCCTTTCCTATCATTAGATGATATGTTTTTTAAAAGACATTTCCATCAGTTCTTTATCATTAGTTTTTATACATTCAACCACCTTTTATTTGCCATAGTCCAAAATCTTCTGGTGCATTGTATGCAAATTGTATACTTGGTATTTGTGACTTTCCTTCTTCTTTATAAAGATTGCCAGCTATCATTTTCTGATTGACCATTAAAATACTGTGCAGTAATTGAGCCATGTAAAAATGAATCCTCAGAAAGGGATAGAAGACTTTTCTACATGAAGGATCAGTAGTAACACAATACCAACTGTGCTTTTCCTTCACTTGACTTCCAGTTGAGCCCATTGTTAATCCTTTGTCGAGTCATTTGTGAAGATGCATGCTTCTCCCTCCTGGCCTCTTTTTAATCTATTACAATCTCAATTGGCTGGACAGGTCAGCTAAACAAGCTGTCCCCAATTGCTTTCTTCTTTCACTTCATGATGTTAAGCATCAGTAGATTGGCCCTTCATCCATGTCATCATCATCCATAAAGGCATCTTCGTCATCATCAAAGTGTGACACCAAGTAATCGTTTTCCTGCAAGATTTAGAAAATGTAAAACCCAGCCAGTCAGTGGTATCTACTTGAGATATGGCTCAGTATGTTTCATTAAAGGGGTGTGTACTACACTTCTTTGAGAAGTGAACTCTTCAGGCAGATATTTAGTTTTGTTCAAGCTTGCATCAGCTATTGCTTGGCAAAGTGTGTTCATTAAGCATTTAAATCAGATAATTCTACAACCTCTATTAGTAAGTAGAACCATCAGCCTAAATTTCAATGGCCTAAGCTATGTTTTACTCAGATGTGGAAATAAACCTGTTCCTTAACATTTTTCTCCTCCTACCACTATCTTTTCATGAAAACCCATACCATCCAAAAATGATTTTTTGTTATGGTGAAGATAAAAGAAAACAAATATGCTTCAAGTGTTGATTATTTTTTTTTACCTCTTCCTGTTCCTCTTCGTCATATTCCAGTTCTTCCTCACCACTTTCTCCTTCTGTTCCTTCTTCCTCTTGATCATTAGCTTGATCATTATTACCCTCTTTCTGGACCATTTCCTGGAGAGGCAATGTAGATACAGGATCAATTAAATCACCATAACTTACCTCCCCGGGGTTCGGGCTCTTGTATTGTTACCTCATTCCTTACCTCCCCCCCCCCCCTAACAAATTGGTGAAATTTCCTTCCAATAAGCAATGTTTATGTGGCATAAGTACTGCATGGTGAATCTATTTGCCCAATAACAATAATCACCTGCCATGAAAGCAGAAGGTATCTTTTTTAATTAATTAATATAGAGATTTAGCCAAGCCTAAAAGTGGACCTTGCATTTTTTTTCCCACATATCTCAAGGGCACAACGCCTTGCCCTGGCCAGGACTAGAACCTGGATCATCTGACTCAGAGCCCAGTGCACTGACCACTGGGCTACTGAACAAAGCTGTGGTGTTGGCATGCCTGCGGTACAGTTGACCACGCATGTTAAAAGTAGCACCTTGTATGGTCGTATGGTCGTATGGTCGTATGGTCGTACATCCAAATTTTTTCAGCTTGATGGGTTACTACTATTTTGTATAATTATGGGGCTACGCTCTGCAAGCTCCGCTATAATAATTTTTAAAAATGGAACCATTTTTTACCGTGAGTCTAGATAACACTTTATCCTCTTAAATGTTTCCATTCATTCTAAATGCTAAGAACCAGGTATACAAATAAGTCAACAAACACACAGAAGAATTTATATTTTAAATTTTTGGTACCTCAAGCTGCTTCAAAGCCTCCACACCAACACTATTCTTTTTAACTGGTTTGCCAATTCTTGGTCCTTCCACAAAGGTAAAAAAAAAAATCCCATAGAGATGTTTCTTTTAAATCAGTCATATTTTTTCTTGTATTAGAATTTAACAATACCTTACTAAATAACATATAAATTGAATGCTTGTCAATATCATATAAAGTGAAGTGAAAAAGTGTTGAGAATCAGTGTCATCAAAAGTTAAAGATGTTTAGAAGTACAACTTAAGTCTTTTTTTTGACCAACAACAAAGGATTGGTTCACAAGTTGAGAAAATTAAATCCCAGATCTTGGAAGTGAAGAGAAAATAATGAGAGGAAAGGGCTGGCATAAGTGAGAATGGCTAATTTGAGGACTGTTTCTGATTAGGATTTAAATTATTCATACTTGCATTGCTAGGATTCCTGTGTTTTTTCACTCTTATTTTTAACTCATTTGGAAATAATCTCCAGTCTGGAATGAAAGAGACAAATTTTGTTGATGATCACGTATTTCCAAAATAAATATTCTTGTATACTTGCATGCACCATTAAACATAAAACCCTATGAAAATTGCCTTTACCTGGTTGCCACTCTAATTCTTCCTTTTTCTTTTCTCTATATCTGTCCGAAAACCTCTCAATATCTGATGTGGAAAAAGAAAAACGCCAGAAACCTATTATTTTTTGCAAAAAAAGATCTGAAATTCAGATTGGACAATTTTAAACAGCCAAAGAGACAATCATGTTTCCGAGCTCATTTGATGGAGTGTTTTATTCCAAATCTGCTTATGATTTTTACTGAATAAAAAAGGAGCGAAATTCGAAAAAACTGCCTCTTACCTTTGGACTTAATTTCTGCCTTCACGAAATAAGGTAGTTCACGCATACACCCTCTTAATTCTTGTTTCAATGCAAGCATGTATTCATCGGCATCTGTCTGTCTTAATGGCAATGGTTTGACATCTTGAGGCTAAAATATTCAGAGATCAGGTGATATAGGTATCGTTGTCATCATCATCGTCATCATCGTCATCACATCGTCATCATCATCGTCATCATCATCGTCATCATATCATCATCATCGTCATCATCACAGCGTTCGGCCGGGAAAATAGAGCAAAGTCAAGGAAATGGTGGAAATAAGAGAAATAGGCAGCTGTGTAGTATATTGCAGACTAAGTGTGGGGCAGCGAGATGGAAGTAAAAGGGATTGGAGAGTGTGTCTGACGCAGACCTTACAAATGGCCTCGATAACCATTCCTTAACAATACAAGAGCCCGAACCCCGTTATGATTGAATTAATTATCGGTGTAATTTCAATGTAAGAAAGACACAACAAATTCACCAACCGGGTAAAGTGGAGGAGGCTGTTGTATTGTAGCGGGTAAAGCTTCCCCACGCTTAAAGCCAATCACTCCTACGTCAAAGGAAAATCCTCGTCCTCTACCTCTTCCTCGACCCCGACCCGCCATCTTGGAAGAGGCTTGGATGAGAGACTGGGCACACATTTTGCGTTATTCCTTCTCAGTTTTCAGCCGGTCACACTTGTCAACATGGCCGCAGAGAAAGCCACGGTTTTAGTAACAGGTGAGGCACATGTTATGATTTGCTACCAGATCGGTCGTTTTTCCCACTTAAAAATTGCTTCTCAAAGGTATATGTACTAGAATTCTGTATGAAGCCTTGCTTGATTATGCATACAGATATTTAATAAAAGCAAATGAAAACTGAAGAGGACTTGGACTGGGACAAATACTTTTTTTAAGAATAGTGTGGGGTTATGCAGAAACCTTTCTGGGCTATTTGTTTTTACCAGGTTACGATTACTCGTATGACATTAATATCGTTATGATTTTGAAAAAAATTGGTGGTGACCTATGGATTTTAATTGATAATCGCTGGCCGACACGGAATAGAAGGGTTATGTAAATATGCGGGTTCAGGATAGTGCGTGCAAAAACAACATAGTTTTGCTGATGTTTAAGATAGATCCATTCAAAAAAATTGAATTTAGTTACAAGAGCTTTGGCTTATTGAGGGAAAATTTTTAAGATATGGTGTCTACCCAGAATCTCTCCAAAATTAGGGCCTCATGTCAGTAAACAGTTGTGGCAATTTTTTTTTACTTATAAGGGTCACTATCATTTTGTGTTTCTATTATCTGGCAGGGTTTGGTCCATTTGGTTTGCATCAAGTTAATACCAGTTGGGAGGCTGTCAAGGTACACCATGATGCTTTTAAATGCTCCTTTTATCTTACTGTTTATTATTCCTATACTTACATGTAGTTTATGTGATTTTGGCCATATTCAGACTGTGACAGTAGAGATCTCCTTGTTCAGTAAATCTGTTTTAACATCTTAGGAATTACCAAACACTGATCTTGCAGAAGAAGTCAATTTGGTGATAAAGGAGATTCCTGTGGAGTACTGTGCAGTGGATGAACAGGTTCCTCAGTTATGGAATGAAGTAAAACCCAAGGTAACTTCAGAGATCTTTATCATCATTAGAAGATACTTCTTCTCAGCACGCAGAGGGTTGACCTCAAATATGGTGAGGATTTTAGATAATTTGATGAATAAGAGGATGTAGAATAGGACAGTGCAACAACTCTGCTTCAGGAAAGCAGTTATGACGGTAATGATGATAATGATGACTACCATAAAGATCACTGTTATTACAGTGAAGATATATATTATCATATTTTCTTTATAAAGAGATATCGCATGCCCCTGGGGATCCCCACCCATACCCAACCTTATTTACACCATTGTAGCATTGATGTCAAAACTGGGTAACTTAAAGCACTGATTTTCCTCCCTTTATCAGCTCTGCGTACATGTGGGTGTCCATGGTCTTGCAGACAGCATTCAACTGGAGATGTGTGGTCATAACTATGGCTACAACAGACCTGATGAGACTGGCAAAAAATGTGAAAAAGGCTGTTGTGTTGATGGTGAGTAGTTCTTCCTCTTTAAGTTGACTGCAGACAAAAAGGGGTGACAGCTGTTCTCACCAAGAGCCTGACTTTTCAGTATGTTCCTATGACAGTGCCCCCCCCCACCTCCACTGCCTTCATTCTTGGGATCACCCCTAGAATCAGGCTTCCCTGTCCTGTCCTGCTTCCCTGGTGAGTCAGCAAATAGCTATGGAGGCCTTAAAAATTTTGCTTTGTGTCTGCATAGATTGTAGATGTTTCAGTTGTGATACCTCATGATACTAAAATAATGTGATTTGTTCAGGAGGAGAGGAGTGCCTGTTTACTTCTCTTGATTTGGACAGACTGTGCTCTGAAGTGATGACAGCTAAAAGCCCATGTCTTGTAGGAACTTCTGATGATGCAGGAAGGTTAATATTTGTTTTTTTGTTTGGTATTTGCAGAAACATTAACAGCATTGGAAAATGATTGGTCAGATCTGTAGTGTTGATTTATTAATCATGTGTATTTTTGCTTTCCATTCTCAGGTTCTTGTGTGATTATTCTTACTACAAATCTCTTCATCTTGGACATGGCAGGGGTACTGTGGCATTTGTTCATGTACCACGTGCAGACTCACCCTATAGCCTTGAGGATCTAGTAATCTCACTAAGACTTATTATCTTCGCTATGCTAAAGCAAATCAGCTAGTGGAACTAGTCTTTCAAGCCTGTTGAGGGGGGAAGGATTGCGCAAAATAGTTGTTTGGACATCTTGAACAATACCATTGTATTTTTCTATTCTGTAATTATAAAACAATCTTGCAGAAAAACAGAATTGAGAACAGTTATACAAAGCTGATATCACTTAATTATAATACTATTAAATTGTCTGCAATGGAGTACTGCCGTTGCTGCTACAATTTAGCTATTTTGCATGACAAGCTAAGGAAAAGAATGAACACTACAGTTGTCCAGCATAACAGTAGTCGGCCATATTATTTATTATACTTTTGTGCCATGATCTTAATTCAAATTAGGCAGCCACAAGCACACAGCTTATAGCTACCATATCTGCAGCAAGACCTCTCGTACTTGTACACAGGGGCTTATAGCTCAGAAAATAGTTTTAAAAGGATTCCTAATAAACAAAGATTGGATTGTATTTTGAAAGTGAGAACTGTCAAGCATTTTGATTCTTGTCAATCTGCTCAAACCCATCAAGTAATTGTTATCTTCATGAGATATATCTTATGGCCTCCTTATCGCAGTGCAGTTTATTTCGGAGGTGAATAGGGGGATGCCATTTACAAGTGAAGTCGTATTTGGATAAAATTTTTAGGCTTCTATTTCTACTGATGATTTATTCCACACTTGAATACATTTAATTTATCGTGTAGGTGAGGGAAGTCCTCAATCGGTAACAGGCCAAATCGCAGGAAAGTCGTCTTCTCCAAAGTCAATTTGCCCGGAACGTTAGTCTCGTCTCCCGAAATCTTAGTCGTGTCGCCTGAAGTGAAAAGTAACATGACTAAAATTTCGGTTGACGTGACTCAGGTTCCAGGCCACATGACTTTGGGCCACATGACTTTCGGGAGTTGTGAATATTAACTGACGGTTCTTCTTGATGATGAAGACCGGTGAAACTGGTTAAAACTTCGTCACTTTATTGTACAACGAACCTTCTCAGAGCTACCCATGATACCCTAACCCGGACAATCACATATATGACCAACTGTTACTACCAGATCCTCACCACCTTAAGTAATACCCACATAAGTTGAGGATGACGGTGAACATCAGAGCAAAATCTCAGAAAGCTGAGTGGCAAAATGAGGAAATAATAGCTCGCAGTCTAGCTAGTCCACGTGCTGCTAGAGCCAGTTTTCCCCAGTTTTCCCAATAACCAAATGTTGCGCGAGGCTTGGTACTGAAGTCATTGTAAAATGGCGGCCAAGAGTGGAGATGTAATTTTCAGAGTTGGCGAGGTATGAAAGCGCGACGTTTTAAACAATCTTCGGGACTTTAGGTCTATTATGTTAGTATTTTATTTTGAGTGATTTTACATCTCTTTAGAAACAATTGTATATTCAAGGCTACCGTCTCAAACACAGATGTTACAACACAGCCGTCAGCTGATACCAGCACTGGATGCAATTTTGTTTGACCATCTTTAATGCCCTGGCTATTTGACAGAATACAACCATATTTTTTTTCTCCTTAACTCGAAGAAAATACCTTTGGAAGCCCTATAATTCATACCTAGATCCACATCACCAATGCAAACCGTAAACGTTTATTCCAGCAATGTTTAGTCATAGATCGTCTACGGTTAGTGAAAGAGACTTAGTTTTGAGAATGTGTCCTAAAATCTTTGGGTTTGTTGACAATTTTTCTAGCAGGCCGACACGTCAGACATCTGGGATGACACCGCACTAATAGAGGCATACGATCGAGCAATAAATGCTATTAAGGTATTTGCAAGTTGTTCTTTATTTTCTCTATGACAACGGGAAGCCTTAACTTATTACTTCGTTGCAAGTGTTCATAAATTCTTAAGATTACTTTTCTCTGCTCAGCTTGATTTTAACCTCTCAGTTATAATGGGTAAAATTACTAATATTTAGTTTTATAATTTGCTATACATCTAAGTTTCATTGGTTTTTCTTTTAACAATGTTCTTCTTTTCTGCCTGTGATTTTAATGTATGGCATGTTGTTCAGTAACATCCCTTTTTTAATGACTGTTTCATCAACCAGAATGGAGGGAAGAATGGTGGCACAAAAGGAAAGAATGGTGGTAAAAACAGGTACAAGTTAAAACATTGCAGAAATTCTGTTTTCATCATCAGGGGAGAGATGAAAACTCTGTTTAGAAAATATGTAAAACTGTGAGAATGATATGAACAATAACAGCTGAAGTTGTTCCTAAAGTAGAGAGCTATTAACAAGTTGCTAACTAAGGCTTTTGATAATCTTTGAAATTCATCCAGTTGCATTTAAACTCCTTCAGGATGTTCCTAAACACCTGTGTTGTTTCAGAGGACTCCTCATTCTATGTTAAGTGTTGCACATATTATTTCTTCCAAACTTTACTTTTTAGGAAACAACAGTCCTCAAAGAAAAAGGACAAGAAGAAAACAACAGGGCAGACAATTGAGGCAAGAGTTAGTTTTGAAAATTATTTTGTGGATGCTAAGAAAGAAATAGTAATTAGGAAATGTTTGGAAGTGCAAGGGATGATTTCTTAGACTTTTTTAGACAATCTTAGGGTAGGTAAAGTTGGGACAAATATTAGAAAAGCAAGAAATTCAATTTTGGTAGGGAGAATTAAATAATCCTGTGCTAACTTTGTTATGACAATGGAGATGGAGTCAGTTATAACCTAATGTCAAGTCTCAATATCCATGTGTGAGTTCCAACAGAACTAGTAGAGTAACCCATCCTAACACTAGGAGGTACGAATGCATTTGATAAAGTTTTTGATATGTAAAAAATGTTTTATCATTTAGAGTTTGAGAAATGAATCTTATAATTATACATTTAAGTGTAAATTTGATGTATTAAACTTTTCTTTCAGTGGCATGTTGGTGACAAATGCCGGGCTTTTTACTCTGAAGATGAACAGATTTATAATGCAGTGGTAATCTTGCTTGATGGCAGTTCCAATACTTGTGTAGTCAGGTTTTCTGGCTATGGTAATGAAGAAGAAAAGAACTTAGATGATCTTTTGCCACCATCCAAAAGAGATTTTAAGTCTCCCAGACAAAGTGGACATCATTGTGCTCAGCTGGCTTCCCCTGAACAAAATGTAATTGTTAACCAGAGTTTTCAGTTTACTGATGGTACACAGTGCTCTACATTTTCTAGTTCAATATAACTCTCGTTGTGATTGTTTGTTAGAGTGGTGATAATGAAATGGACTGGAGTACTGGGGGCCAGTCACCCATCAGATGGCAAGTAAGTGACTTGTGTCTAGCACCAGAACAACCAAGTCAGCACCTACATGAAGCAGTTATTAACTCTTTTCCAACACCATACACTTGCAAGGTCACTTTCCTCAGATCCAGACAAAGGTTAGAACCATCATGTTTGTATTAGTTTTGAAAAAGACTCCAGTATCAAAGTTTTACCAAGCGAAAAGTAAAGTAGCACTGGTGGAGTTTATTAGCTTCAATGTTTACTATTCAGACAAGATGTGGACCTATCAACACTGAGGCCTTCACACTCGTCGCGCCAAGTACACCCCCACCATCACAATCATCATCATCCTTACTTAACTGACCAAAGATACCCTGTGTCAGGAGCCCCATTTACCAGCCATCAGTTTCCTGTAAGTATTCAGAAGAGAAAAGTACTGCATTTTTATTCACCATTGAGAAAGAGAGATCTTTAAATGACTCCAAATACTGACTGTCTACTGTTCCTTATATTTACCATTTATTAAATCATTTTCTCAGATGAATTTCTTTACACCATGTCCTCCTCCTCCTCCTGTTCCCCCTGTGCTCCTTCCTCATCACTGGCCAAATGCAGTTGGATCACAACCCTCAGCACCTACAAACTCCGTAAGTAGATCATTAACAGCACTGTAACCCATACAAGTGTTTGGAGCATCAGGATCTATGAAATAACTGTGCTAAATTCAGTGAGGAATGGCAAGTTATAATAGAGTAATAGCTACTTGTTTATCTTTTTTTTTTTTCAAGATTTTTTTGACCCACTATTTTCAAACTTAAATATATAGATTTAGCCAAGCCTAAAAGCAGAGCTCGCATTTTTTTTTTCCCACATGTCTCAAGGGCACAACACCTTGCCCTGGCCAGGACTAGAACCCAGGTTGTCCAACTAATGGTATAACATAGGAGTGAACCACATTGTTCCTTTTCTTTAGTTCTACTTCAGTTTACTCCTCTTTCTTCCCTGTGCCATCTACCAAGGGCTTTTTCCATCTACCAATAGAGCTAGAATGTGTGTAGAATTGAATGTCCTTTAATTTACAACCAAGAGCAAACAGAAAGGAAAAATAGATGGGATAGTAAACATTGGAGAAGTGCCAACCTTCCTAAGGACAAGAATCAGTAATGTTCTGTCAGTCAGATCACAAACCTGTATGCCTAGGTCTTAAGTCTAGTTATTCGCAAATTTACTTAAATGTGTCAATTCTACAGTTAGTACTTCTTCTTTATCAACAGTTTCCACATGCACCTATGCCTCCTCCTCCAGCTCCAGTAAACAGTAGTGATGTTTCTCATGACAATGATGCACTAGCCAGTATGTTAATGGCCTGGTACTTGAGTGGCTATCACACAGGTTATTATCAGGTGAGTGGATAACTTGCAAAGGGAAGTTCACTCAATAATTACAAAGAAATAGTTCAGTCACATAAAGTCATCCAAAAGGTATGTTTGCACTCTTTAAACACTTGGACTAAAATAAGTGGTACTTATTTGTTTTCAAAGACAGAAAAAAAACATTTAGTGCCCTATTTGTAATGTTAGTTGTTTTGCATACTTCACAGGCAATGCAAAATCTGCATCACAGCTCTAACCCTGGATCTAATGAACCTCAAGTATCTACAAGTGATGCTTGTGATGCAGATACTAGTGAACAGACTACAGATGAACTTCCTTTTGGAGCAAAACAGCAGTTGTGACATTTTATTAAATTTTGTAGTTTATTTCTTAGAGTGTATGTTTGCAATGAAAAAAATTATGAACTTGTAACATTTAATCACTAATAAATTTATTAGCTAACTGCTGGGTAAGCTCATTATATTTCATTTTTACCCACAAATATGGTTAAAAGATAGAGATTGGTTGACAAAGAGAATGTATAAGATAGCTTACAAGCAGGCTTTCTCTGGCTCAGGTAGACAAGCAGCTTTGCCTGATAGATCAGGCCAGCAATCAAAGCAAGTTGGTGAAAGGTGTGCGAAGCTACGTATAAGAATTTTACCTTTACCTGGATTAGAAAAATTGAGTGGAGATGTTGATGATCATTTGTCTACTTGTATATAATGTAGAAATTAGACTTGATTGCTGTTGCATCTTTTTCTACTCTTGAGAGCAGACACCTTTTTCAGTTTGCTGAAAAAGTTTTTTGCTCTCACAGACAACATCATTCTGCACCTGAAGTTTTTGGTAATTAAATATAAACCGGTGATGATTTCTAGTTTTATATCACTGCTCATTGACTGGCTGTTCATTGGGTGTTAAAGATTGGAAAATTGTCCATCTGCTGCACAAAATTATCTGGGTAAATTTTAATTGCATAAGCTCCTCCTCATTTAGCAAGGAAGAACATTCACCAGTTGTTTTACAGTATTCTCTTACTTCTTTTTTTCATAATGAAAACCCTGACTTCTTGATCTTCTACAGATGTCAGAGTAATGAAGGCCTATAACAGTATTTCTGTGAGTGCTTTGTTATAATCAATCAAGGTTTGAGGATGCCAGTACTGTGGACAAAGCTTTAGCATAAGCTTTCGGGTTTTTATAAAAAACACAGTTGTTAGCACAAGTATCAGGGTTCGTGTCCCAGATTGTTAGCCCGCAGGAACACAAGGGGGGAAGAACAATGTTCCTGCTTTGGGCCTTGTCTCTTAAAACAGCCTGTAAAGCTTCAATGTATCTCTCTGTTTCCCTCTCTTTTTGAAGTTTTTTTTGTCTCCTAACCAAATCCATTTCCTTTTTCTTTTCCTTTTGAGCTTTGAGAAAAGACTCCTCTTCTTTTCTGACTCTTTGCATTTTTAGCTTGTCAACCTCCTGTTGCTCTACCTCAAGGCGTTCAACTTCTTTTTCAACTTTCAGAGCTTCCATTCTTTTACGATGCTCCCTCATTCGAATGTTTTCCCTCACTTGCTCCCTTTCAATGTCCATAAACAGCCTCCTGTACACAGCAACTTGAGATTTTGCATGTGCCCTCTTTTCCTCCAAAAGCCTAGAGGGCTGTAAGAGCATTTCAACATAATTGTCTTTTTTCTTGACCGATGCATCATCAATCTTTTGAAGCTGGCTTTTCCAGTCCTGGTTTTCAATCTCTGCATTCTCGCCATGTTCAAAGTGAACATGTTTCTCAGGTGATGCCTGGTCTCCACTTACCGGCAGACCTTTCTCTGGAATGAAGTGATCATTGTCCAAACTTTGATCTTGTATGGCATTTTCTCCTATCCAATAATCACCGATTTCTTTTAATGAATCACTACTGAGAATTTGTTGTTCTGAGTTAGAAACTGGCTGCCTGGATAAACCATGATCTTTAGTTGGAGACGTCCGCCACAAGCCTCCAGGAAGGAGTTTACTATAGTGCTCAACTTCTGCTCCAAGACTTTTGGAACTGAGAACCTTCCTCGCATGTTTCGAGCAATTTCTGATCTTTTTCGCATGTTCATCCAATAGCTGACTTGCAGTATCTACTGCTGTGAAATCTCGAGTCACGCTCCTTTGGATTTTGAGCTCAGATTGGTCGCGATAAACACAATTGTCCCGTCTGATAGTACTTGGTAAGGAACTTTGGCGCACAACATTGCGCTCCACTTCAAAAGCCTCCATCGACATGCCATGTTGCTCCTCTCGTTTCATATGCTCAATATTTCTGACTCTCGCTTTTACCACCTGTTGGAATTCTTTGAGCCTTTCTTCTTTTTCTTGTATAACTTTTCTGAGTCGGAGTTCTTCTTCACGGGCTCCAAGTGAGCTTCCATGAGTTGGTCCACGATGCGGTTCTACCCAAGCCGAAAATGGCAAGATTGCAGAAGATCGATGTTCAAGTTGTCCCTTCGATCGCGTTTTCTGCGGCAGCTTTTTCTTTGCTTGCAGGTTCGCTCTTATTGGATTGTTTTGAGGCACTCTAAACTCGATAGAAGCTGCCATGTTCATACCGCTCTTCTTACCGTTGAAATTTCAAAAAAACAAGAGTAGGTGGTCAGCGGTTATTTCCTCAGTAGAACATTAACTTTTTTGGCGTGACATTCGTGTCAATTCAAACAATCGTGGATTAAAATGTCGTGACTATGTATCATTTCATTGCACTTTTAGTCTTTGTACAAGATTCCAACACAACAGTGCTTATTTATGTATTCCTTTAACAGTGTTTTACTTATGGACCTCAGTTACTGACAGGGCTGTCAATAAATTTTATCATTAGATCTGAACAGATCAATTGCATGTGCTCCTTTAAGCTGGTCTGTTCAAAACAAATTCTCTAAACCAGAGTATAAGTTAGAAATTTTCAGTTATTTTTTATTGCATTTTACGCTGGCCTATTAAGCTGGTCTGTTCAAAACAAATTCTCTAAACCAGAGTATAAATTAGAAATATTCAGTTATTTTTTATTCCATATTACATTTATACTTTTTCTGTCAAGTCTTTCCCCAAAACTGACATTTAGCTTTAAATTAGGATTTAATATTAGGAAAATAATGTTAAGTTCTTTCCTTGCATCTTAGATAAGCACAAATCACCTCCTGAACTACCATCTTCAATGTTTTGACAATGTTTTAACCAAAGAAGTGTAGGAGCAGTAACAAATTTTTTGATGCAGGAAAAAATGGTCAATTTTGAATAGATCAGGGAAGGAGTACCTTTGATGCTCAAGTTTTTTGCCCTCCTCCCATACACATGCAAGGTCTAACGATGGGATTTTAAGATTTCAATACTCCTTGGCTTTCAAGAGTGTGTAGCATCAAAGTAACCTATGAACCCAAAGGTGTGAGTGCTGAATATGAGGTAGACTACAGTGAGTGTAAGTTATGGCAAAATCTGTCCACTTGTTGGTTTGACATTTTTTATTTAGAACCAAAATCGGCCACATGCCTTCCAAGGTCACAATAAGAGGATTTTTCAATACGTGAACAAAACAAATTGTGAAACACAACATTTGATACACTTTTTGCAAATTATCTTAAAATGAAAGAGGTGATAATCTAGGTATCAATCCAGACTTGTTGACATCAATATCACATTGAGCTGTGATATAAGACCTGGAAAAAAATAAAAAACACAAACAAAATTACATGTTAATTTAGCACTTGAATTGAGTTGAATAATTTTAGTCCCTATTTTTATTCCTTTTTAAGTCTTTCAGCAGTCTAGGATTGTTAACTCCTATCAAGATAATCAATGGCTAAGCCTTCTAAAGCACTAATGATGAGCTATTTGGCTGATTTCAAACACAGTACCTTGTACTAACAAATATTACTTCATCTCTTCTATTGCCTCATCAATATCAGCTATATGATTCTTCAAAGTTTCCCACTGATCCAGCTGCAGTGATATCCCTAATAATGAAAAGCACCATTTAAATCTTAAGACATTTTGAGCTTAATTTTGTTCTTGGGTTGTTATCTTTCAGTAGACAGTCACAACTGGTTCTGAGCTACTCAGATTCCATATTCTTGTCTTACCTTTTTTTCCTGGCTTCATTTCACCAGCACTGTCTTCATAGAACTCCCTAATGTCAACCAGGATTTTGCCTTTAAACTCTCGCACAGTTACTCTACGTTTGTTAGTTAACTGAAAAAGGAAAACAGCAACAACAAAAAAACTGTGTTTAGTTATAGAACCTGCCTAAGGTGTATGATAGTTAACCTTAGGTGTAACATGCTAGATCACCTCACTCATGCCATCAAAGACATCTACTTGGCGAACATTTCCCTGAATGTTGACATCTACTTTCTACTTGTCTTAGATTTGGGCGAGAATATAACAATTCTATTTATTTTTAAGTCAGCCTAATCCCTAAACCTCAAAACGCATATAATTTCTCACGCAAACAAAACTCCCCCACCCCACCCTCTCTTCCCTAAGCCATACCTTCGCTCAACGATGCCTTCACGTGAGGCAAGAAGAGGGAAAGGAAATCCAACCTTTTTCCACCCAAATCTAAAAATCAATCTATCTTCTTACGATTAGAAAAATTTTAAATGTTTGCCAAATAGCAGTAGTTTCAAAAAATCCCACTTAGTTCGATGTTACGTACGATGGACAGCGCAAGCATTGCTACGTATTACAACCTCTAAACTAACCTCAAACACACCCGGCTCTGTATGTTCGGTGCCACTCTCCTTTTTCGATTTCTTAGGCTTGTTCTTTCTTTGTTTGATCTGAGACAGAAAATGCAGCCAAGATGAAAAATAAAACCCTGAGTTTAAAACTTGTAAACTGTGCAATCAACTGATTCTTTCTTACAAGCGCCTACCTCTTCTTCATCTGAATCGCTACTATCTGATACAGTTGGCTTCGATGTAACTCTTTTCGACATAATGCTAAAGCAAGTAATTTTATAAGGACTTAGAACAGCAACTCGGTTCACCTATTTCGGTCTGTCTGGGTTCCAAGAAAATGCGCGCGAATAACTAGGTAACCTCCCACTCCAGCCCAGTCTTTGTCAACCGTGGACCGTCACGACATATTCTATGCGTCTTCTCAGCATAACTCAACATGATCTCGAGACCGAAATTACGATTATCGTTATTTCTAAATTGGCAC